TTTTCCAATAGTGTTCGATTCATACGCTCTTCCACCCCTATTCTGTTGTGGTATATTTCTAACAGTGAAGTGTCGAACAATACCATACTCATGGCAAACGTCAAAGAATGGGTCACTTTTATATTCCCATCCATTGTCCTTCCTAAGACGTTTGATCTTTCTACCAGTCTGGTTCTCGATGATATTTTTTCATTTCAGAAAAATTTGAAGCACTTCATCTTTAGACTTCATCGGATACACCCAAACTCTTCTGGAAAATTCATCTACAAAAGTTACAAAATAATGGTTTCCTCCCAAAGACGATGTCTTTGAAGGACCCCATACATCTGAGTGAATATAATCCATAATACCTTTTGTATTATGTATAGTGGTGCCAAACTTCACTCTCTTCTGCTTTCCCATAACACAATGCTCGCAAAAGTTCAATTTGCAAGCCTTTGCACCTTTCAACAATCCTTTTATTTCCATAATTTGCAAGGATTTCTCTCCAGCATGTCCCAACCACATATGCTACAACTGGGTTGCATCCAAATCATCACCTCCGAAAGCTGCTGCAACTGCTCCAATAATTGTACTACCTTGGTAGTAATACAAATTATTTTTCATGATGCCCTTCATCATCACAAGTGTGCCATATGTGACTTTTAAAACTCCATCTCTCACAGTGACTACTAAGCCTTTGGATTCCAAGGCTCCCAATGAGATGAGATTTTTCTTCAAACTGGGCATGTATCAGACATCCATCAGAACTCTAGTTGATCCATCTTGATTCTTCAATCGAATTGAACCTATCCCAACAGTTTTACAGGCATTGTCATTTCCCATATAAACAACTCCTGCATTTAGTTATACTAAATCGAAGAATCACTCCCGATTAGGGGACATATGATAGGTAAAACCCGAATCTAATATCCACTCATCTGAATGGAATGTTGCTGATGAAACAATCAATGATATGTCAGAGTCATTTGCATCATGCTCTGCAATACATGCATATAGAGTAGCTTTTCTTTTCTTCTTCAGATTCAGACAATCTTTCTTCCAATGGTCTTTCTCATGACAAAAGGCACATTCATCTTTTCCCAGTCTGGACTTTGACTTTGATCTCCCTATCCATTTTGGCTTTTGACTTTTCGAGCGACCTCTTGCCACCATGGCCTCCGCTGCTTCATACTTGCTCTCCTTCTTGGTTTTCTTCCTGAGCTCATAACTATACAAAGCAGCGGTTACATCTTTAAGGGTAACATTATCCTTACCATGAAGTAACGCTGTCTCAAGGTGCTCAAATTCATCTGGAAGAGATGACAACAACATAAAGGCCAAATCTTCATATTTGAAGGTTTCATCCAAGCTCAATAAGTTTGCCACTAGCTCATTGAACGCAATGATGTGTTCATTCATACTGGTGCCTGGTTGATAATCAAATCTGAACAATCTTTTCTTCATGTGGAGATGATTCTGAGAGCTTTTCTTTAGGAATTTTTCCTCCAATTCTTTCCACATCTTACTTGCAGAAGTCTCGTTCTTATAGCCATACTTCTGCTCCCTGAAAAGACAAGATGGAATCGTGCTGCATGTCAAACAATTGATTGTTCCACATTCTTTCTCCTCCATATATTCGAGTTTTTCTTCATCAATGGCGATGTCTAGACCTTGTTGGAATAAAGCATCTAACACCTCGCCTTGCTACATGCCAAAATGACCGGATCCATCGAACAACTCCACCGAGAAATTTGCATTTGACATCACCCTCCTCACCGGTCCAGATGAAGAGCTTGATGTCTCAACTGATCCGTATTTTGGCATTTTAATTCTAACGAACAATATTAAATATCACGAACTGTATCTTTTCAGCAACGGAACCACCAGGATAACCTCAACCGAAGCTTTGATACCAATTATTGGGGAAACCGAGTTATTTCCCACAGAACTTAGTTTCAAAATTGACCTAAAATGTCAAGATCAAAACCACCAAAGGTTGCACAGCAGATAAACCTATCAAACTATTGAATATTGAAACATAATGGAAAAAATGAATAAAAAACAATAAAGGAGAGAACACACCAAATTTACGAGGTTCGACGAGAATATCGTATACTCCTCGGGCACCACACCGGATGATAACTTCACTATCAACAAAATATTACAACAAATGGAATTCTTTAGAATTCCCAAAGTGAGAGAATGAAGAAAACAAATGGAAGAGAGAACTTGTTTTTGGGATGATTTCAAATGGAAATACTTAGGCCTATTTATAGTTGAGTTTTAAGGACTAAACTTATGAATAACCTAATATTTTAGGGATCAAATATGGAATTCCCATGTTCAAAGTTTGGACACCTACCAAAAAATTTTCCAATGTGTACAAGTTAGCCACCAAATATGAAATTCACATGTTCAAAGTTTTGCCACCAACCAAGATGAAATTTTCAACTTGCCAACTTAATTTCAAGCCAAATCTAACACATATGACCATAAACATGTATAGTTTTCAACTAGACATAATACCAAAATTATTCCCTAACGTTTATCAAAATGATCATTTTGCCCCTATTCAATTTATTGGAGCATTTTGGACCCAACGTTTTATTTTAGGGCAAAAAACCCCTAATATTTGACAGAATAATCATTTTGTCCATTATTCTTTTTTCTGAAGTATTTTAGCCCTCAACGTTTCATTTTAGGTTAAAAATGCTCCTATTTTGGAGCGTTAATCATGTGTTAACTAATGATTTTCATCTATAGAGGGAGCTTTTTGTCCCAAAGTGAAACGTTGGGAGCTAAAATGCTCCCAAAAAATAATAGGGGCCAAAGTGACTATTTTGATAAATATTGGAAGCTATTTTTGGCATTATGCCTTTCAACTACTATATAATCTTTGGCATGATGCAAACGTTAAACCCCCAACGTTTACTAAATAGTCATTTTGGCCCATTTTTTTAGCATTTTGAGTCTCTACATTTCATTTTAGGGTAGAAAACCCCTAACGTTTGATCAAATAGTTACTTTGATCCTTGTTCTTTTTTTCTATAGCATTTTGGCTCTCAATGTTTTATTTTAGGATTAAAAAACCCCTATTTTAGAGTGTTAACAGTATATAAACTAACCATTTTCATCTATAGAGGGGGCATTTTTGCTCTAAAATAAAATGTTGTTGCCAAAAATACTTAAAAAAAGAAAAACGAAAATGAATATTTAATTAAACCTTAGGAGCATTTTTTGACATTATACCTAAATATTTTAATACCGAAACTATTAATTTCAACGTGTGTTTTGATGCACAATGGAGACTGAGTCATGCATATATATATATATATATTTGCATTAAATTTGTTCTTAATTAAAAAGTGCCCTCAGGGTGCGCATGCATATAATCTAAAAGCCACGATATGTTTATGGACTTATTATTAATACATTTTAATGCAATTTTGCCCTTAAACTTAGCTTTAGATGCTTGGTATTTATTTATTTATTTAGATTTATTTAATATCTGAACTTGGATTATGTACCTAACTAATACCTAAATCTGACTTTATATCCTAATTGGTAGATGGACTTTTTTTAGACCTTGATGTCTAATTGTTTTTACTTATTTTATATTTAAATTTATAAATCATCTTAATATTTTTTATTAAACATGAATATATATGTTATTAAACGAATATAAAGACGGGAACACATTAATTAATTTCATATTTAAGTTTCTATTAGTATGAATTTCTATATGAAATAATTATTATCATGATTTATATGTAATTTTATTTTTAAGGCTTAAAGGTCACTTTTGTCCATGTAGTAGACTCAATTTATCATTTCTGTCCCTATCATATTTTCGCATCAATTTAGCCCTCAAAGTTGTTTACTTATATCATTCTATACTACCCCTAAATTGATAACCCTTACTACAATAAAATGGGGTTTTAGCGGCATTTTTAGTGGCGTTTTTGAACAAACGCCGGTAAATACTCGTACTTTAGTGGCGTTTTTATTTAAACGCCTGTAAATTATCTACTTTAGTGGCATTTTTTTACAAATGCCGCTAAAGACTCGTATTTTAGTGGCATTTTGATATAAGCGCCGCTAAATATTATACTTTATTGGCATTTTTCGAACAAACACCGGTAAATACTCGTCCTTTAGAGGCATTTTATATAAACACTGCTAAATATTGCACTTTAGTGGTTTTGTTTACAAACACCGCTAAATACTCGTATTTTAATAGCGTTTTTATATAAATGTCGCTAAATATTGTACTTTAGTGGCATTTTTTTCAAAAATACCGGTAAATACTCGTACTTTAGTGGCGTTTTTATATAAACGCTGCTAAAGACTTGAACTTTAGTGGCATTTTAAGCACAAACGTTGCTAAATATTGTATTTTGATGATGAGGAAAAATTTGTTTTTTATAGACATTAGTGGCATTTTTCTGATAAAACGCCGCAAAAAACTCTTACTTTAGGAAACGCATCCCAAATAAAATCAGTAGCGGCGTTTATGGAGTAGCGTTGCAATAGGTAGCTACCTTAGTGGCGTTTTTGATTAAAAAATCTGCGATTGAATAGTTTAAGGTGTCGTTTGTCGATAAGCACCACGATAGCTTTGCAGTTTAGTGGCGTTTACGTAAAAAAACGCCTCTACTGAGTAGTACTTTAACATACCAGGATCCAAATCCCTAATTTTATTCGAACATTCTTCTTCCTTTCAACCCTTATCAGAAATTCGACTGTGCTTCACGCCACGTCGCCATTCCGGTCACCAACTGCCGACCATCAGGTATGTCACCGATTTCGTCGTTGTTGATTTTTCATTCCATGTACAAATATGAAACCAAAATAAGCTTTGTGCGATACTGTAAAATCTCTTGGTTCCCTTCTCATTTTTGCAGTTATTTCTCGTCCATTTGGATTTGCTAACAAAGATTTTTACATTATACCCATGTTTGTGATGGTTTCTAATCTTCTTTCTCATTTGTATTTGTTATATCTAATTGCTTCTGATTTATTTGTTTCAGATATTTTCTGCATTTGGTTTTGTTCACAAAATTGCTACATTTGAAAAGGCTGCTGGCTTCCAGGTGAGATATCAAAAGTGCGCTTAGTTTTTTTTTTTTGGATCTGTGGAGATTCCGTGTCTTTCATATGATGTTAATCTTCATGACAATGGTTGGAAGGCATTAATCCAATTCACTGATGCTGAAACTGCTTCTTCAGCGATAGATGCCTTGCATGGTAGAAGTATTCCCAGGTATGTACTGCTTGCTTCCTTTCATCTTGTTCCTCCTTCCACACCAGCACACTCATTTTCTCATTTCTCTAGCATCACTTAATTCTCTTCATATTGATGAAACGCATATATGGTTTGGTAATTGAATAAAAATGTGGTTTCATTCTAATATTTTTTAATGTTATTTTTAAGGTACTTGCTTCCAGATCATGTTACTTCTTCTCATCTGCGAATCTCGTATTCTGCACACACTGATCTAAATATCAAATTTCAGTCTCATTGGAGCAGGTAAAAGTGGACCCATGAATACTAAGTCATTTTCTGTTGAAATTCAATGTTTTGGTCATGTTTATTCCTGAAATTTCATGTAATGTGACTGCTAAACTTTTATTGTGGCATCTAATATATTGGTAATTAATGTGTATGCTCTTTGTCATCTAGGGTGTTATTGAAGCCATTATATAGAGGGTTTATTGGTAGAGTTCAATTCAACACGCTGTTCATTAAAACTTAACCTTGAATTTTCTTTAGCAGGGCGGTAATGAACCTTTGATAGAATTATTATTATATAAGATCTCTCGCGGTCGTCTTTCGGTTGGGCTCGGAATTGGGTTTCAACTTGAAATAATGGGTTAGAGTCGCCACTGATCATTTTTAAAACATTTAGGTGGATCAGAACCATCTTACCTGATCTGCGTTTTACCAGAAATTGTCGTGCTCGGGAGTCGGTTACAGTCAATGAAGGATTAACACCCTTGAACTGCCCTTTAAGTACTAATTAATTTGTCGGTTGTCTTTAATTGCAAAAATTTAAATTTAAAAATTCAATTCGAATTAATTATCTTGGATCAATTGAAAATATCCCTAAAAAGACAAAAGTATTAGATTGTAACAATGAAAATAAATATGAAAAATAAAAATATTAATATAATAATAGTAATAAAATAAATGAAAAAAGGAAAAAAATAAAAATAAAATTAAGTAAAAATAATAAAAGATGATGAAATAGAATAAAATAAAAAATAAGGTTAAGTTTTGAAATAAAAATGTTAAGAAGATAAATAATAAAAAACTGAAATGAAAAAAGTAAATAAGTAAATAAAAAGGACCAAAATGAATTAAATTGGACTTTATGGACTGAAATTAATGCTAAAAACAAACTGCAAGAGAGAAGAATAAAATTAGAGGGTTAATTCACAAAATATAAAAAGTATAAACATTGACTAAATTAAATAAATTGAGAATTCAGAGATAAAATTGAAATAGGTGACCAAATTAAAACATGCATAAAATTAGAAATCAAAATTAAAAAAATGAAAATAAGCTTCAGTGACTAAAATGTAAAAGGTATAAATTGAAGGGACCATATACACGATTTACCCGTGCGCAAAACTATACAGAAAGTTCCTCCCCAAAACGGTGTCGTTTGAGGAGGGGTATTTGTACCCGAAAAATGGCCCAAAATCCTTCAACTCTCTCATTTTTCCTATTTCCCTTCATTCTCTCTAAAAAAGGAGAGAATGTATCTCTCTCGCCTCTCTCTAAAACCTCCACCAGAGGGAGTGACCGGCCACCGCCCCGGTGGCCAATCCACAGCCGACCTCCGCCTTCGGCGGCCAAAAAAATCAACCTTACCTCAAAATGACTATGTCAGTCTCGTGAACCCAAAACCAACCTCTAAATCTCCAAAATAAACCCCAATAAACGTAGATATAAAAAAACCCTTCGACACCTACCCTTTTCTGACGACTTTTCCACTTCTCGGTGCCTTTTTCGGTTGATGCTTTAGCTTTTGGCTTTTTTGTGTGTGTTTGTGTTTGGTATTTCCAATGTGTTTTTGGTTTTCTGTTAATGTTCTTCGATGTTGGTTTCATGTCTTGTTGGATGTTTGGCTTTGCTATGTTCGTTGTGATGCCCGTTCTTGTTTGGTTTATGGTACGATGCTGTGTGTGGTGGGTTTTTTTGTGTACTGTTCTTCGATGGTTCTGTGTTTTTCCTCACTGTTGGTTTGATCCTGTTGATCCTTGATCTCTTGTTCGATCTGTGGTGGGGTATTTATACCCACCACCGGTGCTCGTCAGTTCTGAGCGCCATGGTAACAAACCTGTCGTTGGTCAGGGATTTCGGGATGGGTCAGTCCCGATTTCCTTGGCCAAAAATCTCGGCGCCGTTGAAACGTGATAGCGTGTGGCTTTCATGCACGTAACTTGTTCTCCCCTATATGGCGCGATGCTTGAATGTGTAAACCCTAATTTAGGAATTCGACTGAGTCAGAGCCAAACCTGATTGGTTATTTGTTGGACCCTCACATTAGACCCTAATTTTGGACCTAGAACAAACAAAAATAAAAAATAAGTAAAAACATATAATAAATAAAAATTAATAAAATAATAATAGTATTATATAAAAATATTTTCAAAAACTATATAATATATATTTTCAATTTTTTTTTAAAAAACTATATAATATATATTTTCAAAAACTGTTTTTAAAAACTATATAATATATATTTTCAAAATGTTTTAAAACTATATATTATATATAAGTTTTTAAAAATATTTTTAAAAACTATATAATATATATATTTTTTTCAAAAATGTTTTAAAAACTATATATTATATATAAGTTTTCAAAAATGTTTTAAAAACTATATATTGTATATATATTTTCAAAAAAATTTAAAAAACTATATAATATATATTTTTGCAATTTTTTTAAAAACTATATATTATGTATAAGTTTTTAAAAATATTTTAAAAACTATATATTATATATATTTTCAAAATGTTTTAAAAATTATAATATATATATATATATATATTCAAAAATAATTTTCAAAGCTATATAATATATATATTTTTTAAAAACCGATTTTTTTAAATAGTATATTTTATGTTTTCAAAAACCGTTTTCTAAAAAAATTATATATTATATTTTTCAAATATATTTTCAAAAATTACACTATATTAATATATATATATATATATATATATAAATAATATTATAAAAAAAGGAAAAAATCCGGACGAAAATGAGTGTTTACGGCTGCCCCTCTTTGTCTTTTTTCGTGGAACAAAAAATCAGACAAAGATAAAAGGACACAAATTTTCGTTCAGTGGAGTTGAAAATTGACTATGATATTTCAATTAAGAATAACTCTTTGTTGAATTGAGTTGCGGATGACTTATCTATCGCGAAGTCGAGTCCATCTTGAAATGATATGAGATTAAAGCCGTAGTTTGAAATTTGAATCGGAATATGGCTTATCGTTGCCCTTCGGTGTTCTTCTCGGTTTAAAGACCTTGGTTGGAAAATTCGAATGGAAAATAGTTCCTTGACTCCACCATGTGGTTGGTAGTCCCTCGAAATCGAACTCAAAAATCTTCGTTGAGAGATAGCTTTTCTCGACTTAAGATATGCTGTTGGAAAATGATTTCTTGTCGCTAAGGTACGGCTAACCCCGGTCTTCTTCTTGACTTAAAGACCTCAATTTACTTTAGTTTGAAAGTAGTTGATACGTCATCGAGCTGAATGAACTCAAAAATTTTCATTGACAGATAACCCTTCTTGCCTTGAGTTATGATATACTAAGCTGAGAGATTGCCTCAGATCTTCTTCTTGACTTGAAGACCTCAAGTTCAACCAGAAAGTAGTTTCTCGATGCTACCATGTGGTTGATATATCATCGAGCTGAATGGAATCGAAATCAATAGTTTCTTGTTGACAGATAGCTTTTCTTGACTCAAGCTAATCTGTAAATTTGTTATGCCCTTGAGTTGAATGTAATCGAACTCGAAGGTCATTGTTGGCAGATAACCCTTATCGCCTTGAGCTATGATGCAAATTTGATATGCCTTTGAGCTAAATGTAGTCGAACTCAAAGGTCTTTATTGACAGATAACCCTTCTTGCCTTGAGTTATACTGTAAATTTGATATGCCTTTGAGCTGAGTTTAATCGAACTAGAAGGTCTTTGTTGACAGATAACCCTTCTCGTATTGAGTTATACTGTAAATTGAATATGCCTTTGAGCTGAATGTAATTGAACTCGAAGGTCTTTGTTGACAGATAACCCTTCTCACCTTGAGTTATGCTGTAAATTGGATATGCCTTTGAGATGAATGTAATCAAACTCGAAGGTCTTTGTTGACAGATAGTCATTCTCGCCTTGAGCTATGTTGTAAATTTGACATGCCTTTGAGCTGAATGTAATTGAACTCGAAGGTCTTGGTTGACAGATAACCCTTCTTGCCTTGAGTTATGATGTAAATTTTATATGTTTAAGCTGAGTGTAATCGAACTCGAAGGTCTTGGTTGACAAATAACTCTTCTCGCCTTGAGTTATGCTGTAAATTTGATATGCCTTTGAGCTGAGTGTAATTGAACTTAAAGGTCGTTTGTTGACAGATAGCCATTCTCACCTTGAGCTATGCTGTAAATTCGATGTGCCTTTGAGCTGAGTGTAATCGAAATCGAAGGTCTTGGTTGACAGATAACCCTTATCGCCTTGAGTTATGCTGTAAATTTGATATGCCTTTGAGTTGAGTGTAATCGAACTCGAAGATCTTTTATTGACAGATAGACCTTCTCGCCTTGAGCTATGCTATGAATTCGATGTGCCTTTGAGCTGAGTGTAATCGAACTCGAAGGTCTTGGTTGACAGATAGCCCTTCTCGTAATGAGTTATGTTGTAAATTTGATATGCCTTTGAGCTGAGTGTAATCGAACTCGAAGGTCTTTTGTTGATAGATAACCCTTCTCGCCTTGAGCTATGTTGTAAATTCGATGTGCCTTTAAGCTGAATGTAATCGAACTCGAAGGTCTTGGTGGAAATATAACCCTTCTCGCCTTGAGTTATGTTGTATTTGATCCGTTCTAAATTCGAACCCGTCTGAATTTGATTCTGAGATCTATCGATCTTTCAATATGTCAAATTAGTTAAGGTGTAGCTTCTCACTGCTAAGTTAAACCACCACCATCGATCTTTGGAGGTGCTTTTGAATCGAGTATCCTTCGTCTTGAAGTTGGAACTTAACTCTAAAAGCTGCAAAAATTATGCATGTGAAAAATGATAGACGTGATGCTCTTAAGTATGTCTAAGATGCATGCAACATGAATTAGTTCTTGTTTTGTCTCATGGATGGAGCCTTATTTTTGTCTGCCGGTCTGGTCCTTGGAATTGATTATGCCCAATTCTCAGGTCGCAGCCTTTCACCTTTTGAGGTTGTCATGTTTGAAAATGTTTTTCTCATTTCTCTTATTTTAGGAGGAAAAAAATATAAGAATTCTGTAA